CACACGGCTGGTATGTTCACATTTCCTTCTTTTTATCTTGCATTGTATTTGTATGTATTCCACCTTCCTCGATGCTTGTGGTCCTGTTTAAATCATTCAAGATTGTAGTAGTCAATGTATTTGTTGTGGTTTCTGCTGTTTCAGTATGATAGTGAGTTTAGATGCCTTATTAATCACACATTTATTTATAATTTTAAGAATTTTGGTTGGATATTACGCCTTTGAGTTGAGGCCAATTTCTTTTTTTTCTTTTCAAGAGAGTGGCCCCCTTGAGAGGAAAATCAGTTGCTCTCTAGATTCGAACCAGTCCGTTTGCCTGTAGTCTTCAGGTGCATTATTATTATTTTTTGATAGAATAAGGCCTCATTAAAACCCCCCTTCATATCCTACATGTTATAAACATAACATGAAGGACCTAGGAAGGAGGAAAAGAGTGCCTCTAACTTTTATTAATGTGAACAATAATACACCTCCACACCTAAATACTAACTACTAACAACATAACCTTTAACCAGAACTCTGAATACATAACACACCCTAATAACTCCCTTAATAAGAACAACCAAGGCAGAACACCTTTAACCACTACACAAACCCAAAAATCAACCTATACCAGCTTTTGCTAATTCATCCGCTTCCCAATTTGTAGCTCTCAAAATATGCCTTGTGATAATACCCTTCCTTTCCACACGAGTAGCTATATCCCTCACCAAGGATTTAAACAAAGTAGTACTAAGGTTCGGATTGTTAATCCACTTTAGAGCATTAGTAGAATCCGATTCCAAAATAATCCTCTGACTTGGAATGTAATCAACTTCCTCGATAAGAATCAACCCTCTTTTGATCGCCAAAAGCTCTGCGAGTAAAGGAGGACCTCCCCCTACCTTCTCTGAAACGACCCAAACACCGAACCACTGCCATCCCTAATCAATCCACCTATTCCACCCTTATCCCAACCTTTGACCATTGCACCATCTACGTTTACTTTTAAGAACCCTTCCGGAGGAGGACTCCACCTAGAAGACAGAGGAGACCTCTTTTTCAGATTGCCATTCAAGTCTGCTAATTTTAAATCCCCCATCAAAGAATCAAAAGGAATATGAACATCCTTAAATGAAGTTCCAAACCAAGAAACAATTCTGAATCTCGTAACGAAGCACAACAGCGCAGAATCTACCTTCCCTTGCTGAAAAATCACCTCATTCCTACATTTCCAAACCGACCACATGACAGCCCTAGGAATAAACTTCCATATGATAGAACTCGGAACTAGCTCATCCCACGCAATTAAGTCAGGCGCCTTGACAACATTGAGTTCTACTTACTTTCCCTTCTCTTAATTGAAGCAAGCTTTACTTGTGTATTGAAGCTTGAATACTTCTGTTTTGTTTCTACTTTTTTTTTTGGTATGTGTGTGCATGCGTTGGCCTGTTTCTATATTAAGCAGCTTCTTATGTTTACTTTTTGTGGTTTCCCTAGGTGGAGGGATTAGTATTGGACCATGGGTCTAGGCATCCGGATATGAAGCGACGAGCAGAAAATTGTTACATTTTGACATGTAATGTATCATTGGAGTATGAGAAAAGGTACATATATGAGCATGCCTTTAACTCCATTTTTTTATTTATTCGTAATGTGAGGGGTTCAAGGGGAGGGGGCACAATGTTACTTGGTTTGTGGATCGGTTCAGTACAAAGAATGAAAACTGGAATGCAATTCACTACTTCTAACAAACATAATTTGACAATGGTAGTCTTCTTTGGTTCATTCGGTAGGAACAAAATACATTATATTGGAAAGTACAGCATTTTTGTAGAACTTATATATATAATATTTGTGTTTCTATGAACACAAAACTCTAAAAGAATAACTTTGAAGTTTGTTAATTGTCCTGGTGTCTGCCACTGCATTCTTTGGTTATCCTCAATATGAATATATTTTTTTTGTGGTTGTCATCATGTAACTAATGTTTTAGCCCTCAGTGAAATAAATGCAGGTTTTTTCTACTCAAATGCTGAGCAGAGAGAGGCAATGGTTGCAGCTGAAAGGCGCTCAGTTGATGAAAGAGTCAAAAAAGTTATCGAGCTAAAAAATAAGGTAGCATTTTATGCCTCACATACCCATTGTAATTGTGGCATTTCTGTAGCAGGTAATATAAATTCTTATGATATTCCTACTACTCTTGGCCATCTGTAGGTTTGTGCGGGCACTGAAAACAACTTTGTTGTTATCAATCAAAAGGGTATTGATCCCCCTTCTTTGCATCTTCTTCAACAAGCAGGGGTAAGAAATTGGCTTTTGTTCTTTCAATCCCTATTCCAACTTACAAAATCTTCATAATAACTTGCTCTTTGTTAGATGCGTATTGCTTTCTCACAAGTGCTGTAATTTATTTATTTTTCTTCGATGTAGATGAGAAAGCATCAGATATAAGGCTGATGCGATTATGAATATTTTTTTTCTATTTAAGTCCTGCCTATTTACTGAATTTTATTTTATCTTTTGATGATTTTTGTTGAAGTTTGTCTCACCTGTGTTTTATTTCAATTTACTGATTTGTGGTTTTGTAGATCATTGCCCTCAGAAGAGCAAAGAGAAGAAATATGGAAAGGCTTGTTTTGGCTTGTGGAGGAGAAGCTGTAAATTCGGTTGATGATTTAACCCCCGACTGTCTTGGCTGGGCAGGACTTGTCTATGAGCATGTCCTTGGGGAAGATAAGTATACATTTGTGGAAAATGTAAGACATCCCCATTCATGTACAATTTTGATAAAAGGTATGTAGAACTGTTTGCCATTTAATTAATTTGTACGAATTTAATATATATATGGTTGGTGCCACTTATAGAACATTTAGCTAGTTGTTTATATTCTATTCAAGCTCTTGTCAACAGGGCCTAATGACCACACGATTGCCCAAATTAAGGATGCTGTTCGTGATGGGCTTCGAGCCGTTAAGAATACCATTGAAGACGAAGCAGTTGTATTAGTAAGTTTTGCTTGGTTAGCATTTTATTTGCAATGTAGCTCATATTACGCGTCTTCACATTAACCTCAGTCTATGATAGGAAATGAATGCTGCAGGCAACCCTTGAACCCTAATTTAACTATAAAGCCATAGATTGAGACAGAATTGTTTTGGCTTGAATCTTACACACTGCAAGCTTTTATGACATTTTCTGATATATGAATATATTTATGCTTCAGGGTGCGGGAGCTTTTGAAGTTGCAGCTAGACAATACCTGATTAATGAAGTAAAGAAAACTGTTCAAGGGGTATATCTCTGGTATATTTCCCTGTTTACAACTAGTGAAATGACTTTTGAAATATTTCTAATGTTTATAAATTCGAAACAGCGTGCCCAATTAGGTGTTGAAGCTTTTGCAGATGCCCTTCTTGTGGTGCCAAAGACTCTTGCTGAAAATGCTGGGCTTGACACTCAGGACGTCATAATCGGTCTTACGGTACTGCTACTTATTTTGTTTACTGTTCATTTTGACCCCATCTAGCAAGTAGAAGCTGAAGAAAATGCGTCTTTGACTGTCGATTCAGGGTGAGCATGACAGAGGCAACATTGTGGGTCTAAACCATCAAACAGGAGAACCTATGGACCCCCAAATGGAGGGTATATTTGATAACTACTCCGTTAAACGCCAAATTATTAACTCTGGGTACGTAAAAGCCTTACCTACTTGTAGTTTCGAAATACATTCATTTGCCACATATTGTTCTTTTGTATTTTGCCATTGTTGACATGTATATTTGCATCTTGACCAATATCTTCCATTTGGTGTTTATTATGATTGCGTGTTTAGTACATGAAGCTTAAGACTTTGTTTGTTTTGGACTCTGAAACGATGGAGGTATTTTGTTTTACAGACCCGTAATTGCTTCACAGTTGCTGTTGGTGGATGAAGTGATTCGTGCCGGCAGAAACATGCGAAAACCAACTTAGGGTCCGCCCTTTTACTCTGTATTCGTGTGGCTTGGGTTAAATACATTCTGGGTTTTGCCATCATGTTTAATGGAAGATTTTGTAGTGCATCCTATTCCTATACTAAAACTGGTCATGATCTGTTTTGGAGGAAATTTCCATTTTGTTTGTGTTTAGATAGTAATAGTATGAACAAGTTCTCTTTCCCCTAATTAAATCTTAATAGTTTGAGATTTAATTTGGAAGTGTCGTGATTTTGAATCTTGAAATCACTTGAACCTAAAACCTTTAGGAATGACAATCGTGTTTAATTAGTTTAATGTTAATTTATAAGATATATATTTAAAACTATAATTATATACAATTAAACCTTTACAAGGTACGAGTAAAAGGAATAATAATTAGAATACTTTTAAATTCAACCTATAAACCCTTTGAAATTTGTAGAAGAAAAGAAACAAATAACAAACAAAAACAGATGAAAAAAATATAGGAATTAATAACTGTTAAGAAACCATAAAATCGAAAACAAACGGTCAACGTCTGCAAGAAGACAGCGGAATATTAATGGGTTTGCATGAGTCCATCGGTATAATGTTCATTGTTGTATTCGGTTTGCAGCCAACGCCACAAGGATCGCCAACCCAAATTGCTCTGGGAAATGGAAACTACTTTGGTTTGAACCATTTGCAATGGCAAATGCATACTAACTCAAATCTCATTAATATAAAACCCCAACTTTGGGATTGAAAGAAATAAGGATTTAAGCAAGGAAAAAAACCAAGAAATGGGTGATCAATGGCAATGGCAATGGCAATGCCAATGGGTGATTGTTTATGTGTTGTGTTTTGCAAGTCAAATATACGTATCAGCAGAGCTGAAGAGATTGGGTTTGAGGGCGCAGTCAAGACCCGGCAGCAGCCAAGGCGATGGTTCCCTAAGCTTTTTGGTGGTCGGAGATTGGGGCAGGAAAGGGGGGTTTAACCAATCACATGTTGCATTCCAGGTAATTCATTCTACTTCAATTCCAGGTATCAATTCAATGACTGATTGTAAACTACATATAGATGGGAAGGATCGGAGCAAAGCTGGACATTGATTTTGTAGTGTCGACCGGAGATAATTTCTATGACAATGGGCTGAACAGCCAACATGACCCTTCATTTCGACAGTCTTTCACCAACGTTTACAAATACAGGAGCCTGCAAACCCCATGGTTCAGCGGTAACTCCCACTTAATAATTCATACATTTTCATTGCATTCCATCTGATCTACGTTAATACGCAATTCCATGCAGTTCTGGGCAACCATGACTATAGGGGTGATGCAGAGGCTCAACTGAGTCCTTTTCTTAGAAAAATTGACGCTAGATGGTTTTGCTTAAGATCCTTCATCGTCAATGCTGGTCAGTATTTTTACTTCTTTTCCCTTTTACTTAACTCCATTGTCAATCATATTAATCGGATTTAAAATTTATTCAGAACCAGTTGAGATCATCTTTGTCGACACCACTCCTTTGGTGAACAGCTACTTCCTAAACCCATATAGACAGACTTACGACTGGCGCGGTATAACTCCTCGCACAAACTACATTACGAACCTGTTGAAGGTACGCTAAATACCCAAATTGTTACTGATTTATTTCAGTTTCAGTTTGAATATATTTCAATTTTCAATCTGATCATGTATAGGATGTGGAGTCTGTGTTACGAGACTCGAGAGCCAAATGGAAGATTGTTGTTGGACACCATGCAATTAGAAGCATCGGATACCATGGTGACACCGAGGAACTTAAAAGCCAACTCCTCCCTATTCTCAAGGCTTATGATGTTGATTTCTACATCAACGGCCATGATCACAGCCTACAACACATCAGTGATACCAACAGGTAAACAGGGAAGAGATAAGGGTTGTTCGGGGATCGAATGCCGTTCGATAAAAACAATACTAACTTTGAATACTTGAACTTTCAGCCGCATACAGTTTTTGACAAGCGGGGCAGGGTCCAAGGCATGGAAGGGAAGCATGAGAAAACAAAAGAGAGAGGGAGTAAGGTTCTACTATGATGGCGAAGGTTTTCTGTCTCTTCAATTCTCCAAATTCGATACCCGCATTGCCTTCTACGATGTTTATGGCACCATTTTGCATACTTGGAGTGCAAGCAAACCATTTCTTCAGCCTTACAACACATCAACAATCAATTGATGATTCCATCTTGTTATACACTAGAGTATGCAGTTTAAGAAAATTTTGAATTCAAATGTACATTGACGTACGTTTGAATTGTGTTTATTAGTCTATTTAATATAAACTTAATCATCATTAGTAAATACGAATGTAATATGTGAATGTATATGATTAATATATTGAAAAGTAGTGAACATAATCTCAGTCTATATGAGCTGCAACACAATCCAAAATCATGGTTCGAATCTTTATTATTTTTGTGTGTGTATCTGTAATCGTTACATTCTAACAGGTTTTAATGAGACGATTCCTTTAGATGCATTACGTGAGAAGATGCAAATTCCAACAGCAAAATATAAATACATACAGAATAATCGGTGCAAATTACTAAGCAGCAATCACCAAAATTCACACTTGACTAAAAAATCTGGTCACCTAAGTCCCTGCTAGAAAAATTGTTTTAGCAGGGATGTTATTGAAAGTGGCTAATTCGTAACAAAATGGTACCTTGAGTCTACGAAGCTTTCAACATCCCATAGAAAAGAACCAAAAGTGACAGCCTCCAAAACAAGCCTCTTCAAGCCACCAAAGCTAATCTTGATACGCTCGTTCTTGGAAGAACCAGCAGTCCCCCTTGGAGTAATAGCAGTCCCGGGTCTTCCAAACAGGGCCTCTGTGTGCTTCTCAATAATGCTGACAGCTTCTTTCGATCTGATCGTGGCAAATCTCTGAAGTGTCTCCCCATCGAAGGCCATCACGTACGTCCGTAGCCGAGAGGGCTTTACCAAGTTAGTGTACTCTTCAGGACTGATGATACCAGACCAAGATGAGACCTCAGGGCGTGATGGAGCAGCTTGATAGTCCCCTGCAGGTCCTATGTCCTCTCTAACAGCTAGCTCGATACTACTTCCCTCAGCATCCAGAGCATTTGGAAGGATTTTCATGGTCTTCTCCAGCTGAAATCGCTGGTCAACCCGCTTCAGGAAGTACCCATACATTGCTGACGCAGCATACACTTGACCAATCATGCGTTTACTAGTCTGTGCAACAGTTGATAAATCATCTGCTCGATCTCCCAGAATGAGAGATAGATGGTTTTGGATCATCTCATTGGCCTCCAGCGAGTGAAGCTGCACAAGCTTGTCTTCTTGGCTCGGCCACGTATCCACTCGACCCAAAGGATCCATAGAGGAGGGAGTTATTGCTGGCACCAAAGAAACATTGGCATCCATAAACTTCTGTACAACCAATGCGTAGAGGATTTCCTCCAAAGCTCTATTTCGCTCATTAGCCTTAACCTCAGCAATTCTCCTGTCAAGCCAAACCTTTTCCATGAGATATATATGTCCAGCTATGAATATACAGTAAGATGAATCACCAACCTATGCAACGCTAGCTCCGTGCCTGACGCAGAGCGTACTTCCTTCTTTTGCTCAGCATCCCACTCGGTTTGAAGTTGTTCGAGCTGCTGCTCGACCGCTGCAAGCATAAGATGTGGATGGCTCATCAAGATTTGAGACAAAAATTGCCCAATTGGAGACTCCATCCTTAGGGGTGCAATTAGAGCAGATGGGTCAGCCGAGTCAGGAGACGAAGATGATGCCCTTACAACCCTCCCTCTCCTACTTCCCAAAACCATTCTTTTATTCCATGATCTTGAACAAGCTAGAGAGTAATACTGCTGCAACAATGAATTGATACACATTAAAAAAAAAACAAAATCAAAATCAGCAGAGAAATGTGTTCCACGGCTGGAGAATGGTGGGTTTCCATCCACAAGTATCAAATTATTCCCTTTTTCTTCCCTCATTAATTTCACATAACGCGGCGAAACAGAAAAAAAAAATTAACACAAATATATGAAAGACAAAAAATTGGTAAAGATATATTGATAAAACAACTAGTAGGTAATATGGAACCTTAATCGAGAAGGAGGGGCGAGTTCCGGCGGTGAAAAAGGCCGATTGAGCGACGGGGCTTGAAGGTGGATGTAGATATAAAGAAGAGCCGAACAAAGTAGTGGCGGCTGCCTCCATTTTCAGGAAGAGGAGAATCCTTTCACGAATATAGTGAAAAAATTTATCTTGATGAGGATTATTGGTCTTGTTTTTTGTGTTGGGGACTGCGACTCCGCGAGTCGATTGTTTTTTAATTGTCGACTCTAGGTTCCGATCAAATGGTTTATGACATCTTGGTCTAATTCTGATTTTAATCCCTTTATTAGGTTAAAATTTATAATTTAATATTTACAATAACATTTCATTACTTATTTAATATTATATAAGTATAAGATAGTATCTAATAACTCTTGACCTCCTCCTGATATTAAACGTTTACATTTTTAATATCCAAAAAATAATAACACTATATTTATCACTGATATCATTTCATTTGTACAACATTTAGATTTCAAACTCGAACTCGGATAACAAACCGAGTCCTACTATGAAGGCGTCAAATATAACGGACTGAATCTTGAGCGTTAAACCTTCCCCCGTTTACTTTTTGCCTACTCCATAGCTGCTGACTCAGCTGGCACCTCCTTCATCTTCATCTTCCTGAGCTGTGCAAGGAAGCTCGGGCTCGGACTCGGACTCACCATTCAATGGAAGCGTCTAGAGAAGCAGAGGAAGATAACAAAGCTTGGGAAGATGTGATCAGAAGAATGTTACCTGTGGGAGCTCCGTTACCCGACGAGGATCATCTCGATTACTCCATCGCTATTGAATACGAAGGCCCTCCAATTCCTTATGATGTCCCTCGAGTTGATCCACTCGGTCTCGATTCGCTCTCCGTTTGTGATACATCCTCGATTCCCGTCGCTGCTGCGATCCCAAGTAGACCCAAATTCTCCAGCTTTAAAAAGAATCGGTATAGTGTCAGAAATGGAAGCCCCCTTGAAAGCCAGAGACTGTCCTCCGCTTCAAGATCCCAGATTGATTCTCGTAACGGCGATCACGATTCCGAGATCGATGTTGAGAAGTCTCCGCCGCCACCGACTCCTCCGCCGCAACCAGTTGATAAGAAGAATGCTGTAGTGACGTTTAACACGCCGAAAGAATCGGAAAATGATGATGAAGGAGATGATGACGAAGACGACGGGTATTCTTCTTCTTCCAGTGTAGTAGATGCCGCTGCTGCTGCTTCTGTGGCGAATGTGGAAACGGGTCGGGTTAGGAAGGAGAAGAAGAGAGGAGTTTGCAGCAGGTGTGAGAAACGGAGTAGATTGAAGGAAAGAGAGGCGTGTTTTGTTTGTGATGCGAGGTATTGTAGCAATTGCTTGCTCAAAGCCATGGGGTCTATGCCTGAAGGAAGGAAGTGCGTAAGTTGCATCGGGAAGCCTATTGATGAATCCAAGAGGCCTAGACTTGGGAAAAGTTCCAGGCTTTTGAGGAAACTTTGCAGTGTTTTGGAGGTTAAGCAAATAATGAAGGCTGAGAAGGAGTGTGCTGCCAATCAATTGAGGCCTGAGCAGTTGGTTGTTAATGGGAGACAATTGAATCATGAAGAATTGGGTGAGCTTTTAGGGTGTGCACTACCACCTCAGAAGTTGAAGCCTGGCAGGTACTGGTATGATAAGGATTCTGGATTGTGGGGAAAGGTAAATTTCTGGATTCAAAAGATGTTGTTTTATTATTATTTCATGTTTTTGAACTTTGAATTGAATTTCAGGAAGGTGAAAAGCCTGACAAAATAATTAGTTCTAAGTTGAATATTGGTAATAAGCTGAAAAAGGATGCTAGCAATGGGAATACAAGGGTTTATATCAATGGCCGGGAAATCACGAAGATCGAGCTTAGAGTGTTGAAGGTACTTGATTTACTTTTTCTATTTTCATATTGCGTGCCATCTGTTATATATGATGATGTTTATGAGGAAAAGAGATTATGCAGGCAACGTTATGCATCTTTCATTTATGGAGTTTAATCTTGGTATGAACTAGAAATTACGATTTCACTATCCCTTAAAAGATGAGAATTTTACTAACCATACTCAATTGCATGTGTTCTACATATAATGATGCATATACTTAGTGACATGCAAGTTTGGGCAGAGTGAATATTGTTGCTCACACCTTAGCTCTCTGTTGTAATGGATGTTCTCTGACTAATTAGTACTATGTAGTGTTTTACATTTTTTGTTAGTCTTGAGAAAGATGTGTCTACATATCCCTTTTCTAGTCGTTAGAAATATTTAAGGCAGTTTTGCTATTAAGTGCAAAACCTTAAGGTCATCAAGGAACAGCTTGACTGTCATAAACTGCAACATGCTTTTGCTTCCTCTTTCTGCTTCTTTATATCTTAATTAAAGGACTGAACTTGAACTAGGCATGCTGCGATTATAGTCTTATATAGGGTGAAGGATAGCATTGCATTTCTTCAGTGTATTATTTCTCTAGCTGGGTGCAGTTGATTTCTTCTCTTTTCAGTTGACACACTATTCTGTATAAAGATTTTGGTTCGATTTTTACTTTAATTTTATTTCAGCTGGCAAAGGTACAATGCCCCAGGGATACTCATTTCTGGGTATACGAAGATGGATCTTATGAGGAAGAAGGTCAAAATAACATCAAGGGAAAGATATGGGAAAAGGTTCTCTTGTAATCTTTACATTAAATATAAATTCTAGAATTCAGTCAATGGTTGAATAGATTTTTTTATTCAGTAGAGTTTGATTTTTGGTAGACAGGCTTTTACTCGTTTCTGTTGTTCATTGTTTTCGCTGCCTGTGCCACCTGCAAATCCTCATGGGCCACAAGAAGATCCAACTACCTTTTCAGGGAGGACAGTGCCCAAGTATCTGGGGCAGGGAAGGGCACAGAAGTTGCTATTGTTTGGGTTGGAAGGATCTGGTACCAGTACCATATTCAAGCAGGCATGGTTTTTGTTTTGAAATGTTTTTACTGCATGCACGTTACTTTCATTTCTCCTGCTTCTATGACCGTTCATTCGTTTATATAAGTTCCATTATTATTAGCCAAGCTTTCTTCTTATTATTTGGTAAAATACTTATTGTCGTTTGTCG